CTCGCTGCCCACGCCAGCTCGGCCTCCATGCGTTTTGAGTCCCAATCTCGGCTCTCGAATCCCCCGGATGGATGTGCCGCGTCCCTGCGACGCTGAGAGGGACCTAATTCCCATTCGGTGTTTTGAGGGTGACGGGGCAGCTGTTTCCTGCTGGAAACCCATCAAGCAGAAAGGGAGCGCGCTTGTGTTTAAACCCACGGCGGATTCTCTGTGCGAGCGCTTGCCCTTTGCCCTTCCAGGCCCTTCAGCAGAAGAACGTGGAGTGCGCTCGCGTCTACGCGGAGAATGCCATCCGCAAGAAGAACGAGGGGCTTAACTGGCTGCGCATGTCTTCCCGGGTGGATGCGGTGGCCTCCAAGGTCCAGACAGCAGTGACGATGAAGGGGGTAAGAGCCTCTGCCTGCGCGTGGGGCTTTGAGACCGGGCTGTGCCCTGCGGAGAGCGCGCGTTGGCTCTGCCCCTTGATCCACCTCGGGCTTCCCTGTCCCCGGAAAGGATCCCGCCAAGTTTCCTAATTAGCTCAGCCCCCCTCGCCCTGGTGCAGCCTGTGACGAACCCCTCTGGGATGGCCCCGTGGCGGGGCTGCTTCGTCAGGGGCTTGGATTAAATCCTTACCCCGTGGCTGCACGGGCAGGAGAGAGGCTGGCGCCTGGAGCCTCGTGGCGTGCGTGAGGGTGGGGGTCCGGGGCCCGTTGCCCCAGGGCTTCGGTGACTGCACGTGGCCGGAGAAACCTGGCTGCGGCATCTGGTGAGCAGGCAGGGCCCGTCCTGCCTCAGAAACGCTGGCTTCTCTCTCGCTGGCCTGGGTTTTACTCTCAGCAGCGATGTAGCTCGTGTTTGGGGAGCATCTGTGAAGGAATCTCCTCCTGCAGGTGACGAAAAACATGGCCCAGGTGACCAAGGCCTTGGACAAGGCTCTGAGCTCCATGGACCTGCAGAAGGTGTCTGCGGTGATGGATAAATTTGAGCAGCAGGTTCAGAATTTGGATGTTCATACATCGGTAAGTGCCGGTGGCCTCGGAGCAGGGCGGGAGGGCTGGGGGCTGCTGGGTTTGGGCCTGTCTGACGCGGGGCGCGTGAGCTGTAACACGCTGCATGCCGGGAGAGAGCTGGTCCCCAGCTGGAACTCGGGCTTCGCAGCAGCGCTCTGTTCCCCTCGGGGACTCCGGTGTGGGAAACCCCCCGAGCTCTTCACACGGTTCTGTTCTCCGTATTTGAGGGATATGAGAGACGCTGGGGAAGAGACGTCTCTGCTGCCTGACGGGGAAGGAGTTTGCCGTGCCAAGAGGCGAACGCGGCAGAGGGGGCGAAGAGGGGGGGTGGCTGTCCCTGTGTCGTAGCTAGCCGTTACTCGGAGGAGGTCTGTGGCAGAACCGGACCTTGCGCCCCTCTGCTGGAGCCCTGCTGTCAGGCTGGCGGCTCTTCTGGCTGAGGGGGCCGGTGGCGATGTGGGATCTGCCTCCGGTTCTTTGAGGGAAGAAGCCAGGCTGGGCCGAGTGGCTTTGGCTGCGGGGCAGGGTGACAGGCTGTCTCTGCCGCAGGTCATGGAGGACTCCATGAGCTCCGCTACCACCCTGACCACGCCGCAGGAGCAGGTGGACAGCCTCATCGTCCAGATTGCGGAGGAGAACGGCCTGGAGATCATGGACCAGCTCAACCAGCTCCCCGAGGGGGCTTCGGCGGTGGGGGAGAGCTCGGTCCGCACCCAGGAAGACCAGCTGTCGCGGAGGTTTGTTCTCTCCTGGGTCCTTTGCCCTGTGTCCAGGCAGTTCGAATCCTTCCCAGGGACCCCTGGCCAATATGAAGGGACTGAGTTAGCCCACCGCGGCAGGCCAAGTGGGTGCTGAGCCCCCTCTCTCATGCCCAGGCAAGCGGGAGCCCGGCAGCTCCCATGGCACCCTGTGCAGGCAGGCGGGGCGGCTGTTTGGGGCTGTGGGACCGCTTTGGGGGTGGCTTCTGGCACTCGGCAGCGAGCTCTTCTCGACAAGGTGCAGAACAGTCTCCCCCTGCTCTGTGCTCGCCCTCACGCAGCTGCTGCTGCTCCGGGAATGCTTGGCGCTGACCTTCAAACAGCTCCGGGAACAGGCTGTCTCCCTGGAACTGCCCCAGGAGAAGCTGATGAGCTTCCTCTCCCCGGTCCCCTCCCAGCTGCTCCCCACGCAGCCGCCACTGGGGTCCATCTGGGGACGGCCCCCAGGCTGCGGTGCGCTGCCCTGGGAGCTGGGGACGGCCCCGGGAGCGGGACCGGGCGGGCTGCAGTGGCAGAAGTGAAGCCAGGAACCCCTTCTGCGCAGCACCTCGCCTGCGTTGATGACAGACGCTCCACGCTACCCCCAGGCAGCCGTGGTTGCGTGCTCCTGGGCAGGATTTCTTGCACCCCTGCTGCAGGAGGGAGGTTTCTGGGCAGAGGCGTTCCCCGCGCGCGCTGGCCAAAGGGTCCTCTTGAGTCACAGCTGTTTTCTGCCGTTCTGACGTCGGTTCCCTCTCATGTTCTCCCTTCCAGGTTGGCCGCCTTGCGGAATTAAGGTGTCCCGCCGCCCTGCGGACTGGTGGTATGGCCTGTGGGGTGGAGGGGCCCGGGACTCCTTCCCCACCTCTGCTACGTCCTTGCTCTGACCCAGCGGCCAGGCGGAGTCGGCCGTCCCCTCCTCCAGCAGCACGTCCCCAGCCCTGCCTGCCTGCGTTTAGACTCTTCTTTTGGGGTGTGATGGTGACGACTCTTCCCAGAGCAGGCAGCGATCCCGGCACGGTGTTTCTGAGCGGAGACGGCCTCTCTCTGGGCTTGAGGAACGCTTTGCTGGTTCTGATTTCAGGGTGTTTTTCATTTGAGGGTTGCTGCTGGTTTCTGGCACGGTCCCGCTCCTGATGTAACACTAATGGAATCCTTCTGGAGGTGGGTTGCCGTGTCTTCTGGGGTGCTGCTCGCCTGACTCTCCTCCGGGTGTAGCAGGCTTCTGTCGTTATCTGTTTTAGACCGGGTCTCCGAGCTGCGCTTTCCTCGGGGCCCGCAGCAAGGAGCTGTTTGTAAGGAGCAGGGAGATCCCCACGGGGCTGCCTTCCCCTCGCAGCGGTTCGGGAAGGGTTGTTTTCCCAGCTGTGGCGTTTCTGGGAAGGTTAGTGCCTTGCAGGAAGGGGAGGTTATGCCGTGGCATCTCTTCCCTCGCAGCGACCTTCCTGAGCCGTAGCCGGACGCCCCGTTTGCGTACTTCACCTTGCCAACGGCTAGCTCCTTGTTCTGCCAGGCCAAACCTCCCTGGAGCTCTGTACCACAAAGTGACCTTGGAAACGCTCGTCCTGCCCCGCGCGAGCCCCTGCGTTTGCGTGGGTAAATCCACGCCTTCCCCATCTCCAGCTGCTGCGCTCTGGAAATGGTTACCAGAGTCCTGACCTCCCATGCGGACCCATCCTTGCTCCATGTCCAGCAGCTGGGAGTGGCTCGCAGCTGCGGTCGCCACAGCCTCGTCCCCAAACGTCCCCCAGCCGGATGGGTGTGACAGTAAACGCTAAATCATCCCGAGAGCGTGCTGCCTGCGCTGGCTGCGGCTCATCCCCTGGATATCTGCTGCCGTTTCCTCTCCGCTCTCCCCTCCTTGCTGCGTTTGCTCTGTGCTGCTGCCTGCGGAGCACGGTACGAACTGGATGAGCGGGGGCTGCTGGCAGGGCAGCGTCCCCTCTCCTCCCGCTGCTCCTGGGGAAACGTGGCTGCTTGCCCCTCGCAGCCTTCCCCTGGGGCTGAGGTTTTCTGTGCCCTTTCTCCTCTGTGACCCCCAGGCACTGCTGAGCTGTGGATTGACGGGAAGCTCGCCGGGAAGGAAACGTAGTTTCCTTTGGTTCTCAGGAGGAGGAACTTTAACCTTCTCACCGCGGTGCTGAGCCGTGCTGCGTGCAGCCAGGAGCGGGCGGCTGGTCCCGTTCCTCGCTTTCAGGGGCGTTTGCAGGCAGGCAGGGCTGCTGCGGGGGGCTGTGCTGAGGGGAGGGGAGCAGAGGGGGAGGCAGCGCTGGCTGCCTTCCCGCGCTGCCTCTGCGGACGTGGGGCCATCTCCCCAGCACTTGCAACACACTTCTCACTGTTTTGATGATTTCTTTTGAGTTCAGTGGCCTTGGCAGCGTGTCTTGTGACCGACAGAGCCTTCTTCCCTGACACGTGCTGTGGTGGGGGCGCGGGGTGGTGGCCGTGGAGGAGGAGAAGGTGGCTTTGGGATAGAAAGTCACCTGTGTGTGGTGGAGCCTTGGATCTTGTGCCCCCTCCGCATCGGCTGGGCCGAAAGCGGGAGCCCCCAGGAGCCCCGTGCCTGGCTGCTGCTCCCCACGGGGCCGGGCAGCCTGGCCCTGCATGGGGGCCGTGCACGGGTGCCAGCTGCGGGGCCGGGGGCCGGGACGTGCCCTGTCGCCCAGGGAGCCCCTGCCCCTAGAAATGCTCCTTCTTTCAGCGTGATGTTTCTCTGTGGTTTCATTTGTGTGTTTTTTAAAGCTTGTCTCATTTGCCTTCTTCTCCAAACCCCTGTCGATTACCTTCTGCTATTTTAAATAAACAATCCCTGAACGTCCATCGTGGTGCGTCCGGGGGCTCAGACACGAAGAGGGCGGCTGCGGGCCCCTCTGCCTGGGGCACAGCGTGACGGCCGTGCCCTGCGCCCGGCCTGGCGGTGCAAGCGGTGCAAGCGGCAGCCTCCCTCCCTCCTCTCGCCCAGGGAAGGGGAGCAGTCACTGGCAGAGCCGTGGCTTCCCACCGCCAGGGTCACCAGGGAGGGGAAGGGGCCCTGGCGAGTCCCCCCATGCTTCCCCCGCAGGGACCTGTTCCCTTCCCGTAGCCAAGCCAGGGGGAACTGGGGTGAGTGGGAGCAGCAGTGGTGCAGCTGACACCGGCTCGGGGAGGCTGGGGCAGCCAGGTCATGTCGAGCTCCTTTCCCCAGCATGGTTTTTGGGCTGCCCAGCTCCCTATGCTCTTCTCTGCACCCTTCGCCGGCCCTTGTGGGGAGGAGGCCGGGCTTCCCGAGGGGGAGATCCCCGGCTCGTAACCCCATGGAGGGAGCCCTGGTGCTTTCCACCCCAGTCATGCCACCAGCACCCGCTGACAGCAGCTTCACCGCCACGGGTGGCTCCGGCGGCCCGATGTGGTTGCTGTCGCAGCGGGGACCCTGCTGATCCCTTCCCCGTGCCCGTCCCTTCCCCGTGCCTGGCTGGCAGACGGGGCTCTGCGCCTCAGCCAATTTGCGAATGCCACAGGAAGATGGCTCTCCTTCTCCTGCCTGTTTTCCCGGTGCCCAAAGCCGCCTCCGCTCCAAAGACAGGCTGTTCCCAAATGTGAGAGGAAATTGCTAAGAAGATAATTGAGTAGCCAGTTAATCAGCTAATGATTAATGTAAGCATCCTGCGGAGGCAGCCCTACAGCCACCCTGGCCGGGTGTTGCAGCGATGTGTCACTCCCGGTGCGCTGACGGCTTCCCGGTGCCCCAGGCTGGGTGCCCACCGAGCCCCTATGTCTCTGCCCCACCGGGGTGGCCGGCAGGGTGTCGGCGTGGCCGGTGACATGCCAGCGTGGCCGGTGATGTGCCAGGGCTGGCGGGGCCGGCAGGGCCCCGGCACGGCCGCGCGCTGCCGGCGGTGCTCGAAGCACGGCTTTATTGGGCTCATGGGGCTGGCGCACAGGCGGGAAGGGGCGGGGGGGGGGGGCCCGGCCGGGGGGCCCCCGGGCGCGGAGCCGCGTGCCAGCACCGCTCTTGGTGTACCCGTAGCTGGTCCGGCACGTCCCCTCCAGCTCCTCAAAGGCGATGGGCGTCTCGCGGGCAGCCGTGCCTTGCAGGGTCACCTTCACCTGTGATGGGGGACAGGGTGGGCTCCCGCAGCGAGAGGCAGTCCCCGTGCCCCACATGGCCCCCTGTCACCTTGCCCGTCCCCGTGCCGCCCCATGCCATCCCGAGCCCTGCACGTCCCTGTTCATCCCCTGCCCCACGTGTCCCTGTGCCACCCCGTGTCCCCATACATCCCCGAGTGCCATACGTCCTGGTGTCCCACTTGTCTTTGCAGCCCCGTGTGTCCCCATGCCCCGTACATCCCAGTGCTGCCCGTGCCCCGCTCACCTCCTCCACCTTTTTGAAGACTCGGAGCAGATTTTCGGCCAGGGCTGCCTTCACCTCTGCCTCCGTCCAGTTCCTTGCCAGCAGCTCAGCCACCAGCATGGGGTACGTGGAGACGTCCTCCAGGCCAGTGGGGAGCCTGTGCCACCCCGCAGCTCGCAGCCATGCCGGGGGCAGCCGAGCCTGGTGGCACCCACCTCCCGCACCCCCCAGCTGCCCGCACAGGGCACGGGGGGACCCCCGCCATGGCTGGGGACACGCTGCCCCATCCCACCGGCACCCGCTTTACCTCGTGACCCCATCGTAGTCCCCACCGAAGCCGACGGACTGGGCACCGGCCACCTTCTTCACGTGGTCCATGTGGTCTGTGGGCATGGAGGGGCCGGGGTGAGCGGGGCCGGGGGGGAACCCACTGCCACCCCCCCTTGCCCGCCCGGGCGCGCACCTCACCTGCGACATCGGCCAGCGTGGCCGTGTCCCTGCATGTCACGTAGTCGTTGTAGAAGTTGATCATCACCAGGCTGCCCGTGGAGGCCTGGGGGAGAGGTGGTCCTGAGCCGCACAGCCCCCTCCGCCGGCCCCCTCCCTGCCCGCGGCCGTGCCCCGGTGCTCACCACCATATTCAGCACGTCGTCAGGCACGTTGCGGCGGTGCGGGCAGAGGCTGTTGGCGGACGAGTGGCTGAAGATGACGGGGGCTTTGGAGAGCTTCAGCACGACCTTCATTGTCTCCACTGAGACGTGGGCCAGGTCGACGATCATGCCCAGGCGGTTCATCTCCTCCAGCACCGTCTGTGGGGATGGGGATGGGGACAGGGTGGGCGAGGGGCCATGGCAGCCCTGTGCGGGGGGACAGCGTGCACCGGGGCACCCGCTGCTTGGCTTAACAACCCGGCATGGGGCTGGTGGGTGCTGGTACCGCGTTTCTCCGGCCCCAGCCATTGCTCCCAGGCATTGCCACCGACCCTGACCCACTCACCTTCCCGAAGGACGAGAGGCCGTCGTGCACGGGTGGCTCATCCCCAGTGTCCACCAGCCAGTTGTCAACCCTGCGGAGCGGGGAGAGCATCAGGGCGGACCCCTGGCCGTGTGCCCCTGCTCAGGCACACGCTCTGTCTCCCTCACGCTGGCCCTGTCCCCCCCATCCCCGTCCCTGTCCCCTGGGGGCTGCTACCAGGGGGTGTTGCAGCTGTGGGTGAGGGTCATGTAGCGGACGCCCAGGTGGTAGAAGGTGCGCAGGACGCCCAGGCTGCTGTCGATGGAGTGGCCGCCCTCCACCCCGATGAGGCTGGCCACCTTGTTGCTCTGGAAGGCCTGCTGGATGCCTGCGGGAGGACGGGGGGCATCAGCCGGGGTGGGCACCGGGGCACCCGCGTTCCCCGGGGCACCCGCGTCCCGGCCTCGCGCCCGCTCACCGGCGCTGTCGACGACGCAGGCGAAGGTCTCGGGGTAGAGCTCACACATGCGGTGCACCACATCGATCTGCTCCAGCGTGCGCTTCACCGCGTCCTTGTTCTGCGTGTCGCAGGGCACGTACGCCGACCAGAACTGCCCGTGACGGCACGCGGTGAGCGCCGGGACCCCGGCCCCATGCCCACTGCCCCTCACCCTGGTGTCCCCTGCCCTCCCCGGTGCCCCCACCCGCCTCGCCGTCCCACCTGCCCGCCCACGTGCCCGCTGCGCAGTTTGGGGATGTTGGTGTGGGTGCCGGTCAGCAGCGTGAGGTTGGCCTCCGGCAGCCCCAGCTGGTTGTTGAACCTCTTGAGGAGCTGCCAGGGCAGGTCGTTGTGCCTGGGCAGGGGAGAGAGCGGGAGTGAGGGGCTGTCTGTCCGCCTGCCCGTCCATCCGTCCAGCCTCCTGCCTGCCCACCTCCCTGTCTGCCTGCCTGCCTGCCCGCCCATTCCCCCCTCATCCGGCCGTCGTTCCAGCCATCAGTCCGTCCAGCCATCTGCCCGCCCATCTGTGCCCTCTGCCAAGAGCCGCCCAAGCAGCTCCGGCCGGGAGCTGGGGCCAGGTCACTCCCAGGGGACATCCCCACACGGCACCCCCTTTGCCGGCTGGCGGGGAGCCGCGGGGAGGCCGGGGACCCTTCTGTGCACCCCTTCACCCACCATCCCCACTCAGCCATTGCACCCAGGGGAGCCAGCCCGGCATCCCTCTGACCGGGACGTCACCGACACCGCTGTGGGGACGTCACCGTCACCTCTGTGGGGATGTCACCATCACTGCTGTGGGGATGACACCACCACAGGGACGTCACTGCCACGTGGGGTCCTGCACCCAGCAGTATTGCGGGGGAAGTGCTGGGGGCCAGACACAAGAGGCGGCTCCCACTTCTCCCCTCCTGTGTCACGGTCGCCACATCCTCCACCCCGTGCCCGCTTCCAGGGGCTCGCCGCGCCGGGCTGTCGCGGCACAGGGCTGGTGCCATGGGGGAACCCTGCAGAGGACCCGAGCCTCCCGAGGGTCCTGGCACGAGCCCGGGGATGTCCCTTAGGACATGACCCCGCGGGACCCGTTTGCCCCAATCGGGGACTTCCCCCGGGGCAGCCTGGCCCCTGGCTTCCCGGCACCCGGCAGGGCTGCACCGGTGGGGATCCCCTTGGCTGCACGGCCCCGGGGTGCTGCCACAGGGATCTCCCGGCAGGGCCATCCCCGGTGGGGTTTTCTGGCCAGGGTTTTTCTCAGGGTGCCGAGAGCTGCAGCCCTGCCGGGGCGGCTGGGCATGCTGCGGGGCCAGGCAGCCCTTGCTCACCCATCGATGACCGGTGTGGTCGCCATGATGCGCTCAGCCTCCTCCCGGTGATGCTGCCCGGCGCAGGGCAGGAGCAGGCACAGCCCCAGCGCCAGCGCCAGCACGCTCCTGCCCGGCATCTTCGCCCACTTGGTGCCACTGGGGGATGAGCCGGGGTGACCTGCTGCCGCGAGCCTGCTGACTGCGCGCACCGGGATGGCTACCCCGACTCACCGTCCATCCCCTCCTGCTGTAAATAAATAACCAGGAGCCACAGCCATAACCCCACCCCGCGTGCCCTGTGCCCCAGCCCCGGCACCGCCTGGGCACAGCGGCGGCAGCCTCCCCCGGCCCGGGCGGCAGGGCTGTGCCGAGGCCTCTCCGCATAGCTGCGGTGATGCTCCCGGCCCCTCTAATGCAGCCCAGATTTTTTTGCTGGGAAAGTGCCAGTCCCGTCCCCGCCTCGGCCTCCCCAGCGCTGGCACCCGCCAGCACCCCCACTGCCGATGAGCGGGGCCCGGCACCCCCGTCTCTCACTCACCCCGGCCCCGGGACGCTCGGGTAGCTGCTGCCTGCAACGGCTGCGAAATATGTTTTCCAGCTTGCGTGCTGGCAGCGGGGCTGGGACAGGCTCTGGCCACCCCAGAGCCACCCCCCGACATGGCGTCGGGCACCGGGGAGTGGCCGAGTGCCGGCGCACCCTGCGGCTCCGTGGTGAGGCCGTCCCGCCATGGAGGGGCCGAGGGGCCGCAGCTGGGCGGGGGCGGC